ATTTATACAGCTTTATTAAAAATTCGTAAGTTAAACTGACTTACTGTCTCCTAAGAATATCTAAAGCTGAAGATGGAACATCATAATTTGTTACCAATACCTTCTGTCTTGGTGTTTCGCTGAAATCAAAATGGCTTCTTAAATAGATGTTTTTAACTTTTTAATTAGACTGAAATTACTAATACTTATAAACAAATACTTTTACAAATTAAAACAGTAAATGTAGGCATGTACTACACTTATAAATGCTTCACTCCAGCAAAAACTCTGTTTTGGAAAACAATTTTGTTTAACGATGCAATAGATATCGTTAGCAGTATACATGTAATAATTAGTCATTTTTTGCCTTAAATACATTTAAAGCTCAATAAGTTCAGCTTCTTTTATTCAATAAAAATAAACCAGCAAAGAAACGCACAATGTAACTGCGTAAAACTACAAAAACTTTATAGGTAGCATCAAGAAGGTCAATGACCTTACGTATATGAACATGGTGCTGTATGCCATGCTAACTTACCGTCTAATCAGTATTGAGGAAGTAAGAACGGATTCATTGCATTTATTTATTTTAATCAACCAGTGAATTAAAAGTATCTACTTAATTGTCATTCAACAAAACGAGTTAGTTTTAAAATAACACAATATATTATTACACTATACTATAAATAACTGGTCTTATATGTACTATAAAAATAAATTGAAAATAATATTTCAAACCTACCTTTCTTTCTGGATTTTATATGTTTCTTCATTCCCTATAAAAAATAACAATTTGAATTTTTATAGCATGGTAGGTAAGGGTTGAGAAATATCTACTCAAAAGATAGGTAATGTCCTTCCTTAATACGGAATCAGTTATTTGAATACCCTGTAGATATAACTCGTTTATATGTTTTTGAAATGGTAGAAGTTACTTTCTTAGTTTTATAATTTTTTTAATTTTTATTAAACTAATGAGTAATTATCAACAACTTACCCCCATGGCACGTATAAAATGAAATGATACTAATTAAAAATATTGTTCTCCACATGTTTTGTAACAAACTAACACTAAATAATACACAGTTTCAACTTTCTTTCACTTCAAAGAAACCAGTAATAGTCATATGGTTAAATCGTGATTATGGTTTGTGGGGGGCTTGGTACGTAATGTGGGACATAGCCTTAAGGTAAAAGGCTTGGTCAATTAAACAATGCTTTTTTAACATACAGAATGTTAAAAAAACAATTGAATTAGAACGCATATAATAGACAGTTCAATCAAGTACCTACAGTGATGGTTTCAAAGACATTTTTTTTATTGAAAAAATGGATGAAATTTTAGGGTGAAAGTAACATTTACCCTATAATTACATTTTGGTACACTTACCACAGTTTGGAAGTTTTAACAGTTCACTATCTGTGGGTAACGGTTCCGGAACCATAACGTCTAACCCAGCGGCAAAAATGGTACCATCCTTCAAGGCCTCTATTAAAGCATCTTGGTCTACAATAAGACCTCTCGCAATATTTACGAACACAGAACTGTTTTTCATCAAAGAAAATGTAGTCCTATTGAACATATGCCTTGTTTCGTCAGTTAAAGGTGCCGCTACAATGACGAAGTCACTTTCTCGAAGAAGTGTCTTGAATGATACAAATTCTGCGCCTAATTGTTTTCCTGAATGACAACAATTAAATTAGCAATTGTTTGTTTTTATTTTTTTATTTATATTGTTATACCTTCCGATTTTTCACGGTGGCCCGAGTACAGAAGTCTGCCAATGTCAAAAGCCTTCAACCTTTTGGCAATGGCTTGTCCAATTCCTCCAAGTCCAACAATACCAACGGTTGAATTTTCCAAGTCCGTCCCTAGCAAATACTGAACACCAACCCCACTCCATATACCCCTAAAATTACACTACCATGACGCTTAAAGCAATTTTTAACTTTTGTTAATTTACTTTTCAATATGCATTCTGCCTTCTTGCAATCGTCTAGATGCAGCCAATGTTAAAAGAATAGCCACATCTGCAACCGCCTTATTCAGGAGTTTTGGTGTGTTTGCTAATTTAATATTACGTTTTCTTACAGCTTCTAAATCAATATGATCGGTGCCTGCGTTCATTGTTACTATAATTTTCAATTTTGGTCCTGAAATGGTTTATTTATTATATCCACGCGCGTTTCTAATATTTCCTGAACACGGACCTGCCGCATTTAAAATCTCTTCGTCCAATGGCTGATGAATAGCCCAAAAGATGGCGTCTACATCAGCGACTTTGTCCATGATGTCTTGTTTAGTAGCTCTTGGTTTCCTTTCTGTTATCACGATATCAAAACTAGGAGCAAAACGGTCCTGTTTCAATAAGATTAACTAACAGACTGATACTTTTGTATTATTTAAGTTAATCATCGGAAAATCAACAGTACTACATATGTGTGCGTAGATGTTTAGTAGCATCGACGCTCAAAATGAGTAGCTACTAGCAGCTACTAGGTAGTAGGAATATGTTTCATTACGTGCCGGTTATGTGTGTGGTCAAGTTTATCTTTTGCTTATGATAGTAGTGTACTATTAAGTAAGTATTTTGTATGAGTATGGTTCATTTATACAGCTTTATTAAAAATTCGTAAGTTAAACTGACTTACTGTCTCCTAAGAATATCTAAAGCTGAAGATGGAACATCATAATTTGTTACCAATACCTTCTGTCTTGGTGTTTCGCTGAAATCAAAATGGCTTCTTAAATAGATGTTTTTAACTTTTTAATTAGACTGAAATTACTAATACTTATAAACAAATACTTTTACAAATTAAAACAGTAAATGTAGGCATGTANATTTTGAAAAACATGCAATAATTTTAAAAAAATCACCCGGTAGATATGAATAAATAATTTTAAAAAATTAAGTGAGCGTTTTTTTAAAATCACCTGGTATATACGACCAGTGCCATATGTTAAATATAAATTTTGATATTTTAAATCTAAACTGATGCATTAACACTAAATAAAACTTATCAAAATAAGTTCACTAGGCTATCATTCAAAAGATCTCATATTTCGAATAATGTACGAAAATGATAAGTAGATACTTACTTTTCTCTTAAAATGTCTAAACCCGCTATGGGAACATCATAATTAGTTACAAGCACTTTCGGTTTACTCATATTGCTACTGAATGATCTAATTATAGTCACTGAACCTCCTCGAATAGGAGAAAAACACTGACACGTAGACCGTCGCGTCGGTGTAAAACTACTGCAAATCGTTATCTTCCACTTATTCAACGTAATCAAATGTGTCGAACAGATAAGGCGAAAAGTTCGCCTTACGTAGAAATTACACATTTCGTTGTCGGAACTTCTTATGTCGCGCTAGCGAAAATGCATAATTTGGGAAACATGATAGCGGATATATTTCTTCAACTAATTTATCTAAAAATATCAGTCGTTTCTCTGAAAACTGACCGAATAATCAAAATCTTTTGTACAGAGCGTTAACACCNTTAATTTATATACATTTTTGTTTTAAGAAATTGCTAAACATTTTCGTCTAGTACTGTACAGTTCTAGCCGATCTCCTAAGACCGGCCATCGAGAGCTCTGCTCGTTCAAGCTTGTTCCAACTATTTCTGTCTTGCTCACGCCTAGTGTGTATTCTTTCTATGTTCGCGCAGATTTCTTCAAGGTCACAATTCTAACAAATTGAAATGGACTGCATTTCACGTATATTTATATGTATACATATGTACATTGCATGTATTATGCATACATACACAAATAAATACAAAGAGTGATAGCACAAATAAGCACGCAATAATAAGAAAAAAATAGGTGATAACTAAGTAAGACCATCCACTCGAAGACCCGATTGAATTAGCCGAACAGATTAGATAAGTGATGATAATAGTAGGATTGGACGATTGTTACATTTCACAATTGTTTTTTCTCGTTAATCAATCATTCCAATTATCAAAACTAATCGACATAATCTATTATTTTTACAAAAATAATCGATTAATAATCTATTAGTAATCGATTAATAAGATGAAATGGAAAGCCTTAATTCTCTCGTACAAAACAGTAGCCAATACTGGCTACAGAGGGAATCTGATAAATAAAGCCGCCCTTAAATCATTTTTAAATAGCTTTTTTACAATACCCATTCCCCTACATGCTAATATGATTCCTCTAGGTATAAAATGAGACCCTAAAATTTCATTTACATCAGTTTCGGCTACAGAACTTTAAAACTTAGTTTTATTGATAGTTTTACCCACTGTTCAATGTGCATCCTTCCTTCCTGAAATCGTCTGCACGCGGCTAAAGTTAAGAGAACCGCAATCTCTGATACAGCATCATCTAAAACTTTCGGGGTATTCCCTAGCGGTATATTTCTCTTTTTTAAAGCGGGTACGTCAATATGGTCTAAACCGGAAGACATCGTGGCAACAACCTTTAATTGCGGCCCTATAAAGTAATACAGTATAAGGTTTTTTTTGGTCCGAGTAAATATGTAGTACAGACCTGCGGTGTCTAGTACTTCGTCATCGAGTCGTTCTTTAGTACACCAAAAGAGGGCGTCTACACCTTTTACTTTATCTAAAATTTGCTTTCGTGAAGCTGCTGGCTTTTGTTCGGTAATAATAACATCGAACCTTTAAGAAGANCACCGCTACTTTTTAATCTATACAACGAAGACGCGATCAACATCATTAAAGACAGTACAACTGTAGGGATAGATATACAGGGCCAAAAGATTAGGGTGCTTAGATTTGTAGATGATATAGTAGTATTAGCATCTAGTAAGGAGTTAGAGATAACTTTAAATAAAACGAAAGCGCTATTGATAAAACACTATTGTATGAAAATAAATAAAAGTAAAACAAAAATACTGGTATGCAAGGGAAGAAAAAGTAGGGAGAGAGCGAATATAAAAATAAGAGACGAAAAATTAGAAGAAGTGGCCGATTTTAGATATCTAGGAAGACAGATAAGTCAGGACGGAAGGAGTAGTAGGAATATAAAGCAGTGGATAGCGCAGGGTCGAGTCGCCTTTAATAAAAAGAAGTCACTTCTATGCTCGCGAACGGTTTATTTAGAGATTCGAAAAAGATTAGTCCAAAATGTGGAGTTAAAGGCGAATGATGAGGATACCGTGGATAGAGAGGGTTAGAAATGAAGAGGTATTAGAAAGAATAGGAGAACAGAGGACTCTATGGAATCAATAAGAAATAGGCGAGATAGGTTGGTAGGATACCTTCTCAGGCATGAAGGTCTAGTCAGAGACATATTAGAAACAGAAACGGGAGTTAGGAGGGGTAGAGGTAGACCTAGATTAGGTTATTTTCCACAAATAGTTAAGGATGTGGAATGTTCTAGTTTTAGGGAAATGCGAAGATTAGCTCAGGACAGGAAAAAGTGGAGGTGCGTGTCCAACTAGTCTTAGGATTGATGATTCATGATGATGAACCCTTAATAGTAATAACAATTGTTAAAAATGATAAGTTTTCATATGGTATCTGATAATATACAGTTTATAACAATGTCTAGATAACGATCGCGTTCTTTGGTTGGACATCAACAATTTCGACAGGACTGCCGCAGACACAATGTTGTACAATGTCGATGAGGCTCAGAATCTTATCATATTTATTGGAGACGGCATGGGACCAGAAACGATTACTGCCACAAGAATATACAGCAAATCTGAAGACAAATATTTGTTCTTCGAACGTTTTCCTTTCGTCGGAAAATTAAAGGTAATTAGAAAATCTACAGATCTCGAGAAGTCAGACGATCCACTAGCATGATTTCAAGGTAGTGGATCATCTAGCGTGACCCATATGCAATTGCAGGCAGATAACCAAGAAAGAAATAATTTCAATTCAGTTCATATTTCCCATGTTTAATACATACATGTACCTGTTATTATTACTATCGTAGACATACGTTGCGGACAAACTTGTACCACACTGCGCATCAACACCAATATTTTGCGGATCAAAAGGAAACGATGGAACTGCTGGGGTGGATAGCGATGTACGTTTCGATGACTGTGAAGCATCCTTGAGCAAAAGATCGCGTCTGATCAGTCTGTTTACTTTGGCCCAAAAAGAAGGAAAAGATACTGGTAAATTATCGATAATTTTAAACGGGATTCGAGACAGCTCATCTTTTCTTATCAATTTATAGTTTGTTAATTGTTACAATATACAATAATGTCGCGTCTGGTGACTTGGTCTCACCATTTAAGGAAATCTGAAACTCTGGTTTTTGGGAAAAATTTATTTTCACGCAGTTTGAAAAGAAACAGCAAAAAGAAAACTCAAAGAATAGCTTTTTATCAAAAATTAGGTTAAACATTGCCCAACTTTTGGGAAAATCATTTTTATGCACTTTTAATTGAAAATAATAGGCATTAGGCAGCACTCAATACTAAAATATGCAACCCAACATACGCCTTCTACATCTACGATGCACAATTGTAATTGGTCCTGATGTTAACACTAAAATTCAAATTGAATTACAGGATTTGTAACTAATGCCAGGGTAAC